GGAATAGGAGCTTTCTCCGTCTACTCCATGCATTGACCTGGTATTGCAGTACCTCCAGGAACAGTGCACCAAAAAACCCCCCAAAAACCTTATTTATCAATGTCTTTAATAAATAACTTGGAAAAGTATTACTTGAAGTCCTTATTGTTCCCCATTTTGAGTATTTCAGAGTCCATGACCTTCATTTTTCCTCTACTTTCTAATACAGTCACTTTAGATAATCAGTGACAGAGGGAAAAAAAATAAGGTTTTAGCCAGAACTTTACCCGAAGGTGTAACTCATGGTCCATAAGTACATAGGAAAGAGATAAGCAGGTAATAATCAAAACATGCAGACACATACTTTCTGTGGAGAAGAATGCTATTGACCCCTCTGCATTCTTCCATGCTTCCTTTTAATAACAGATGTCTTCACCACCAACTGAAGTTCTGCTACAGATAGAGCTGCCCAACTATAGATACATTTTCCAGCCTTTCTCCCTAATGGGATATGAGCAAAAGTGTGATATGCCTTGCTTATAAAGGAAATTGGCTGGGCACAGTGGTGGGTTCCTATAATCCTAGCTACTTGGGAGGCTGAGGCAGGAGGGTCACAAGTTTGAGACCATCTTGGACTATTTAGTGAGATGCTATCTCAAAATTTTAAAAAAAGGCCCAGTGTGGTGGGTGTGGTGGTACATGCCTGTAATTCCAGCACTCTGAAGGCTGAGGCAAGAGCATCAATGTGAGTTCAAGGCCAGCCTCAACTGCATGTCAAGACCTTGTCTCAAAAAAACAAAAACAATCAAAATAATAAAAAGAGCTGGGGATATAGCTCAGTAAGTAAAGCATTCCTTGTACAGACTAAAAAAAAAAAAATTGCTTGCCCTCTACTCTTCTTTCTGCTTCCCAAGTATGTAATACAGTCAGGAAGGTCAGTCAGCTTCAACCATGAGGATAAAGACAACATGGTAGAAGATGCCACAGTAACAAAAGGGAAGAAACCTGGGTTTCTTGTGGAAGAAAGCTTGACTATCTGCTCTGGACTGTTATGTGAGAAAGATCTAAATTTTCTTCCTCTCTCTCTCTGTCTCTCTCTCTCTCTCTCTCTCTCTCCCATAAATTTACTCTTTATTGAATTTGTTAATGTTACAGAGTTCTTGCATTGCCAAACCATACCGAGAATCCAAGAAAGAACCGGTACAATGCACTGCCTCATCCACCCATCGTATAGTATATTAAAACTTAATTCACGTGCATTTTTGTAATTTCACAATCTTTTTAAAAACCATAACAAGAGCTGGAATTTAAACCTGCGCAGACTTTCAGATTTCCAGTATAGTATGGCATTAAGTAAAACCTCATCATATTCATCCCACTTCATCTCTCAATAACATAATCCCCAGCAAAATTGTGGGGGAAATGTATACTTTTCAAAGAAAATATGTGGCTCAAGGTCCAAGAGATTACTTGTTTTTGTTGTTTTTTTTTTAAAGAGATTACTTGTTTTTGGTTCCTAAATGAAGTCTTCAGTTTAACCAAGAATCTCATATTTTGCTTAATTGTCCAACTCCCCCTTGCTGCCTCAGCTACTCACCCAAATACATCAGAAATGTATCATCAGAATATATCAGAAAAGACATCTAAATAATGTCAACATTATTGCTCAGAAGTGGCTGGTAGGGCCTGTCAGGAGACTCTGTATGCACCCCTCCTAGGAGTCCGATTCCTGCAACAACATGTTCTTCAAGACAGAACTCCTCTAGGAAAATGCTCCCGATACCAGGATAGACTTACTTGCCCACTCACGTCACTCTTGCCAGTAGCAAGTCTGCAACTCCTGCATTAGGCAAAGGGATTTATTGTAGAGAAACCCAGACTCTGCATCAAATGGTCACATGCCCCTATGAAATTTTTCTACTGAACCAAAGATATAAAATTAGGAAAAACTGCTATAATATCTCATTAGGTGGAAAATTTTTCAGGAATCTTGGGGAGCTCAGTTTCAAGTCCCTTGTAAGGACTATATACTACTGGATCATGTAAGCTGCAGTTATTAGAAACATAAGTGCTACATTAGTGTCTAGCCCTGCCTTTTCAAATGAACACTAAGAAGACACACCAAAAGGTTGATAATAGAGCTAGCTGAGACAACCACAGCACCTACAGAAGAACCAGTACCTTAAAACTCCAGGCACATGTATAGAAGGAATTCTTATCAAAGATCATGCAAAATCTAGGAAACTTAAATGGGTACTAGATGAGGTTTTGCTTGAGTTGCTTTGAACCTGTAGGACAGGCTGATGAATCCCTTAGCCTGAGCAGAAGCCGTATTCTTTCCACAGCAGTTTACTACACAATTTAGGCCCGATTAGAGGAGGCTGTAGCAGCACCTGAAGTAGAGCTGCCAGCATCAAAGGCTATTTGGTTCCACTTTATGGACTGGCAATTTCACAAGACATCACAATTTTAGTGCATATTTCAAGTTACTTAACCAAGCAATATGCTCTGTCAAAGAACTTATTCCAAGTCAAAGCAAAAATAGCCTTAATGAGGAACAAAGGAAAAGCACTATCCAAATAAAAAACTACTATGGATCTAAATTTCTATCTTCTTTTGGCCATGTATTTTAGAGTATCTTTATTACAGCAACATATCCTATATGTGGTAAACTCTTCAACATCATTCACTCCAAGGTCACACAACTACAGTCATGTGCGAAAAAATAAAGAGGTTTTTATCGATGATGATGATATGATTAGATTATAATGCAGCTGAAAAATTCCTATCTCCTGGTGACATTGTAGTTGTCATAACATGTAGCATAATGCATTGCTCACATTGCTTGCAGCTACAGACAAACCTACTGCGCTGCAAGTCACAAAAAAGTGTAGCACATGCAATTATACTAGTATATAATAATAAATGACAATGTTACTGGCTTATGTATTTACTATACTATACTTTTTTTTTTAGTACTGAGGATCAAACTTGGGTCCTTGTGCTTGCGCAGCAGGTGGCGAAACCACTGAGCTAAATTCCCGGCCCTACTATACTATACTTTTTAATATTATTTTAGAGTGCACTCCTATTTTTTTAATTTAAATTTTAATAAATTTAAATAATTTACTGTAAGACAGTATGCCATTACACCAGCAGCAGTCTAAACATCTGTTTTCTGCATCACTTTCTCTTGTGCTGATTTAATCTCATGTGGTTTTGTTTGTCAGGGCCCTAGGAGTAATAGACTATATACCATAGAGCCTGGGTGAACAGTAGCCTATCCCCTCTAGGTTCGTGTGAGTACACAAATCCCCATCATTAAGCAACACATGACTGTCCATAATAAACTGGCTACTGTAACAACTGCTTTTGCTGTGTAATTTTCTGTTGTGGATATAAATGTACTCTCGGAAATTCTAATGGAGACTTTTAATGTGTGATGGGTCAGTTGGTCCTTTTCAAGTTCACCAGACTAGGACGAAAGAAAGAAAATCTTTCTACCTTTAATAATACAAAGGGACAGAATGTGCCAATTAATCTACTCATCACAGAAGGAAGTGGAAAGACAAGAGAGAGTGTAATGTACTTACAAGGGGTTACACACAGAAGTTAGAGATGTATGAATATTGGAAGACACTCAGGAGTAGTATCAGGTTGAAATTACAAGATCCCAATGTCTTCTTAAAAAAACAAAAAACAAAAAACAAAAAAACCTTACTTCTTAGCTGCCAATGTGTTCAGGCGTGATGACTCAATTTCTGTCTCTCTGAACATCAGTCCTAGGGTCTGTATAATTTCAATGCATGCCCTAGGACACAAAGAGGAAAAAGAATGGAAATGGCATGATTTTATCAGAAGTTCAGAATTGTGTAAAATCAATAGTCCTTGATAAAATTCCTTTCAGATGTTCATACAGAAAAAAGAATGGGAAATTCTTTACATCAAATTGTCAACATTGGCTGGACATGGTGGTACATGCCTGTAATCCCAACACTTGGGAGGCTGAGGCAGGAGGGTCACCATGGGTTTGAGGCCAACCTGGGCTACATAGTGAATTCAAAGCCAGTCTGAACTACATAGTGAAACCCTGTCTCAAGACACAAAACAAAATTGTCAATATTGGTTAAGTACCTTGTCTGCAATTGCTATGTAGTAACCCATCACGTGTGTTGAATGAATATTATAATATAGTGTATGCATGAATGATAGCGTATGTGTTGAATGAATGACTGACAATGATAGCTGCCTGTCAGGATTAAGTCATTTTCATATTTTTGTATGTATATTTCCCCAACGTTTTTGGGATAATCACATACTACTTCATTTAAAAATTATTTCAGATAATTTTTATTTTTTTATTTTATTTATTTTTTATTTTTTTATTTTTTTGGTATTGAGGATCAAACTCGGGTCCTTGTGCTTGTGCAGCAGGTGGGGAAACCACTGAGCTAAATCCTCAGCCCCAATTTTGATTTTTTAAAATAGGTAATACGTGGCTCAAAATGTCAAACATAAAAAAGAAAATACATTGAAAAGATATCTCTTCTCCAGCCAACCATTTTTCCCTTTTAGGGAAGCCTGTATTTCTAGTTTCTGTGTATCCTTCCATTAAAATTAAAACAAAAGAACTGTTATCTTTTTTAAAATCTGTGTGAAGCAAAATTTGTACCACCATTAACCATTAGTACTGCATATATTTTGTCTAGTGCCTATCATTTATCTTTAAGATACATCTGATTATCTAGTTAGTACTTACACCAGCTCATCAGCCCTTTGGCTTTTATTATGAAGTGCATTCTTATTCCGAGACTCTGGCAAGTACTCACGAAGTTTGTTCACGAGGAAATAGAATAGGTCACTGGTCTGTACAAGCAAGTGAGAAAGAAGATGGTCATTAAGGTATCAGTTCTTAAAACTCTCCATCCTTACGTAAAAAGTATGAAGAAATTATTTATTCTTTTATTAGAAAAGGTAGTAGGCCAGTCTAAATTGAAAAATATACTTTTATTTACAACCAGGAAACCGCTGTCCTGGAGATAAGAAGAGCTAACAGGTGATATCAAGGGATGGACAATATTGAAGATCACCCAGAAGTAAGTGCATAATCTCAAGTCATTCCATTATCTGGGAAAAGGGGGCTGCTATAATTCTTGCCTTTCCAAAGTAATTTGGCTTTTATAAGGAATACACTGAGATAATGGATAGGAAAGCTCTTATTTAAAAATATGTGCTAACACAAAAACAAATGGACAACAATAGTAAAGTGTATTACAAATGTTGAAAAAACAATATTAATACCACTGGCAATGCAGTGGAAATACAGATTGCCGTTTGCTAACTGAACACTGACTCAGAGTTGAGGACTAATATTTTTGTGTTCTTACCCAGTCTCATGAGCTCAATGAAGTATGAAAATAAGCACTGGCCCATAAAATCAGGCAAGCTGGTACTAATAAGAAAGATAATGCAATTGCTTCTCTTTTCTGTTCCTCTGTTGTTCATTTTTCCCCCTTTGACTTTTGATTACTAGGACAACTTACACTCTGCTTTTTTTTGGTACCAGGGATCTAACTCAGGACCTTGCGCTTGCTTGCGAGGCAGGTGGCAAAACCACTGAGCTAAATCCCCACCCCTTACACTTTGTTTTGACAAGTATATGTGTGCCCTTATTTAGGTGATATGGTGTGAAAAAGGGCTGAGAATGGCTGTGGAGGAAGGGATGGAGGAAGAGGAACAGCATGAACATCGGGCCTCTCCAAGTACTTGGACTTATCTATGCCTGATAAACTCATTGAGAAGCAGCTTAACACACTGACTCTGGGGCCTGGCTCTCTGAATTCAAATCCCCCAGCCTTGCCTCTTGTTTGCTGTATGATCTCTGGCAATTTATTTATGTTCCCCACGACTCATTTTCCTCATCTCTAAAATGGGGTTAATAATATTACCTCATGGAGTTGATATTAGGACTAAAAATAATGTTATTATATAGAGCTTGAATAGTGCTTAGCACATCATAAACGCTTAATCAGTCTCAGTTATTATGATCTCCCATCTGCCTACTGATTGAGGAATTTTATTCTTAAAATATCATCCTTCTACCTCCAACAACATGAAGGAATCTCAAAAGTATTACGCCAAAAGTAGCCAGGCTCAGAGGAGTACACAGGGCAGAATTCCATGGTGGTAGAATTCTATGACGAGCAACACTGATTTCTAACAGTGAAAGGAAGCACATCAACCATCCAGGAGAGGGCCGGGGATTTAGCTCAGTGGTTTTGCTGCCTGCTGCACAAGTGCAAGGTCCCAAGTTTGATCCCTGGTACCAAAAAAAACAAAAACACATCAGTTCTCAATAAATTTCATGGGCCAGGGATTTAGCTCAGCGATCCTGCCACCTGCCTCACAAGCACAAGAAAAAGAAACAAAAACCCAAACATTCCAGGAGATTAGGGATCTGCTTCCCAAAGGGTACAAGGTAGCCTTCTGGAGGGACAGAAATGTTCTACAATTTGACTAGGTTAGTATCACATGGATATATATTCTTATTTAAACTCTTAAAATTATACCCTTAAGTAAAGATACATTTTTTCATACCTAATGTATAATTATACCCCAATGATTTCTTCAAAGAAGATATGCAAATGCCCAATAAGCATATGAAAAGATGTTCAACACCACTAATCATTAATGAAATGCAAATCAAAACTATAATGAGATGTCATTTTACATCTATTCAGATGGCTGCTATTAAAAAAAAAAAAGTACTGGGCCAGGGATTTAGCTCAGTGGTTTCGCCGCCTGCTGCACAAATGCAAGGACTGAGTTCGATCCCCGGTACCAAAAATAAAAATAAAATAAAATTTTAAAAAAGTACTATAGTTGGTGGGGATAGGGAGAAATGAACCCTCTGGCACTGCTACTGGGAACAGAAAATAGTGAGCCACTATGGAAAATAGTATTGTAAATCCTCAAAAATTAAAAATAGAACTACTATCTGATTCATTGAAATAAATCAGTAACAAGACAAAGACAATATAATTTCACTTATATGAAATACTTAGATTATTAATCAAATTAATAGAGATAGAAAGTAGAATAGTTCCCAGGGGCTGGAGCGGATTGGTGGGAAAACGGGGAGCTATTATATAATGGGTAGAGAGTTTGAGTTTTCCAAGACAAAAAGAATTCTGGAGATGATAGTGCTGATGGTTATACAACAATCTGAATGTACTAATGTCACTGAAATATACACTTAAAAATGTTTAAGTGGTAAATTATATGTTATGTGTATTTTACTAAGCTTTTTAAAAATTGAAGGAAAACAACCTAATGGAAAAAAATAAAAGGCTAAGGGAAAACATGAATAGAGAACTCTTTCATTTACTCATTTATCTATTCACTGAACATACAGTTATTGATTGCCAGCTATGTGGCAAGTACTATGCTAGTACTAATGAAATAATATCTTGAGAAAAACAAAGATGTGTCTATACTTCTAAAATAGCTTAGTCGCCTTAAGAAGTAGTGTTCTCATAATTTAAATTCTACTTACAATAAAAGAGTAAAGATGATTTAAAAGAAAAAACTAGTGTCCCCAATAAAGTTGATTTTAAAAGGGCTCCTGAGGGAGCTTCACACAGCCTTATGTTCAGGAAGCCCAACACAAAGTTGGAAAAACATGGTTGTCTCTTAGGGCTATAATAGATAACAATTTAGATTTTAAAACTCCTAGAAGAAGATAATCAGGTTGAGCTTTATTAGTCAGGTATACAAACTTTGTGTAAATGAATATGAGAATGGATTTTGGTTATGGATTAGAAAAAATATACACCTACCAGGTCTTGATGACATGGTCAGGGAGAGAGCCATGAGTAGTGCACTAAAATGTGGAAAGACTCCAAATAGGAACACTACCCATGTGCCTTTTATCTTCTCCATTCATGCTGGCCTTTGATTTTTTGACAAGCAAATTTGAAGAATTTCTATTTCACTCCATCTAGAGACATTACATTAAAGAATGGCTGCAGAAGTTTCAAGTGTGAAACACAATGTGAATGTTTTATCCCTAGACTTCTACTCAGATTAACTTTTCACCAAAGAGTAAGTGTGCAGTTCAATAAGAACAGCCTCCAGGATGTGGTATATGTGTACATTGGATTGGGGCTTGGGGAGAACATAAAGTTAGGTAAGACACACAACTGTCAGGAAGAAACTTATAACATGATATGGTAGATAAGAAAGCTGTACCAATAACTATAGTAAAAGAGAAAATATCTGTGTTAACTCTTGAAGATAGGAGCTATATCTTAATCATGCATGCATTTCTAATCCCTCTTAGGTTGCCTCACACAGATTAGGAAAGCAATAAATGTTTGTTGAATTGTTAAAGAGAAAGTGTTGTGAGAGATGCCATAGAACTCCACTGCCCTGTAAATTATTTAATTATTAAAATTAGATTAAAATTAAAGTTTTTCTTCTTTAGTCTTTAGCCACATTCAAGTGCTTAATAGCCATGTGTAGCTAATGTCTACCTACTGAACACTGCAAATGACAAAATATTAAAGAAAGCTCTATGAACAGAACTTCCACAGAAGATCAAAAAGAGAAAGGTACCAAAGTTCCTCAGTGAGAATGACAAGAAAGGCATAAAAAATGGCATGTGAGTGAAAGAATAAGTCATATTTTTACAAAAGAAAAATGGAAGACACATCCTAGAGAAACCAAATAGCAGGAAAAAGGATGGTGGCCCAGAGAGGACAGGGTATTCTAGTCATCCCATATGGCTCAGGCTTTTAGAAAACAGAGAGGAGAAGGAAATGGTGGGCTGTTAGCCCATCCTTATTCTTTTTCTCTGCATCCTTTTATTGCCCCACAGCCACGGCCACCTATATCAGGCCTGTTTTAAGAGTGGAGATGCTTAAAATGACCTCTAGACCCACACTCTGGTGTTCAACATTCACACCTTTCTTCCTATTTAACCCTCAGGCAGTACTTCAGTTCTCCTACCTAAGCATCTACTTTAAATCCAATCTATAAATGTGTTCAGTTTATCTAAATGGACTTCTCTCTAGCTGTGTCTGAGGTCCTTTTCCAGTCCTCTCTCAGATACTGTCCTTACTTCCTACTCCAGAACTCACATTCCATAAAGGACCTGTTCCCACATCCTAAACAAGCAGATCTTCTAGGTAGCAAATGTTTGTGCAGACATCTGAGTGTAATTGCACCTACATACTGAAATATCTGTCAATTTTGTTTCACTTACTTTATGTAGAGCTCAGCTGGATTAGTTCTCCCAGATGACAGTGCTTGCTGATAACCCTGCCCCACTAAGATAAATGCCATGCCCAAATTCAGAATCTATGACGGTGGCCATTAATGAGTAGCTTTAAATGCTGACGTGTCTATACTTAATAACTACAAAAGGTTTTGATGAAGCAAGCCCGCATAATTGGGGTTTTGATTAAATTGATGCCATGTGTGTAGTGGGCAGGATAAATTGGGTGGGAAGGGCCGGGGATTTAGCTCATTGGTTCCGCCGCCTGCCTCACAGGTGGAAGGACCCAAGTTTGATCCCCAGTACCAAAAAAAATGGGTGGGAAATAATCCCAGTTTCTTCAGCTTTTCGGCATGAATTCTATTTCCATTTTCAAAATCAATCTGGTTGTCCCTGTATTTTCCATAATTCTCTGAAGTTCTAGAATCAAAATGTGGGTGGCATATTTCTAACAAGATCTATCCAATACTGTTCAGTTTAGACTATGCACCACTATATCATCCTTACCTGAGTCTCAGTGTTGTCAGATATTTGACATAATATTCTCTATAGCTACTCTGTCCTCTAATTAGGCTGATTGGCTATCAGCCTAGTTTGTTTTGGACTCTCCTTGCTTTCCCATGGCAAACCGGAACAGCTGGTCACCCTAGTCCAGGAAAACCAAGATGGCTGGTCATCCTATATATATAGCACCTAGAATCTAAGACACACCCAAGACTGTCCTGAGGGGTTGGGAGATTGTGCACTTCACAGTGGTTTAGTAAAATGATGGCAGCTATACAAGAAACCATTGGCCAGAAGTAGGATTCAACTTATGGCCATGTGGGCAGGACTCACTCTTTCTTCTTGGCCTCATTAGCATCACTCACCTGGGCTCTTTACCCACTTCACCTGGAACCAAAATAAAGCATCTGTAACTTACCAAGTGAGAATTATGTTGCAACCTGACTCATCAGAAGTCACATTTTTAAAAATGTCTGTCTTACACTCAGAAGTATTTGTTTTTAATTTCAAAAGTATTTTTAAATTATATTTTTACTACAGGGGATCATGCAAAGCAAAACTCCTTGAAATCTACTTTTCCATCTTACATCTCACATGCTAAAACCTTTCCCTCTAATATCTTCCTTCTTTTACGCTGACAACCCAGCCCATGTAAGCTACTTTGTGCTCTCACTTCCTACTTCCTTCATTCCCTGCCCCCCTCACACACACACTATTATCTCAAAGAACTTCAAGTGTTAAGACATGACTGCATTAAACTTAACATTTTAAAATACAGCATCAGAATATAAGATGATTTTTATTTATATTTTACTTTACACTTAAATGTGATAACCAGGTGAAATGTGTTTTAAAGATTAAAAATAAATCACCTACTTTCCAGAAAAGCCTTTTCAGAATGAAATTTTTCTGAGCTGCTACTTTAAGTTCCGTAATTAAACAAAGTATCTTCCTCAAAGTATTGTCTTTAAGAAGAAGTTCAGATTTGAGTTGACTGAAGTGTTTAATTTTCTCCTCAGATCTATAGAAATATATATTAAAAAAAAGTTCCATGTGAAAAATAAGAAAAAGCAGTTTGGGAATATCAATGACTTGATAGGCTTCTAAAGCTTTATTACCAATGAAATTTTAATATAGTTTTGTACTCCCAGCGTTAATACTCACCAGTAGTAAAGCTTGCTTCCCGTAAATTGAACTGTTCATTACTCTCCAAACTTACTTTTGAGCCATGTCATTTACTCAAACTATACCCACACCAGGAATGCCCTCATGGTCCCTAGTAAACTTCTGTGCTCTTTCAAGCCTTGCCTATATCATTTACCATCACTGACAAACCATATGTAATATTATTTGCTTAAATTTTTTCTTCCAGTCTACTCACTAAGCTTTTGCTTAAGGAAGTTTATTTACAAGAAAATTTTATATTACTATTTGACAGGGAAAAGTAGTATT